CCCCAAAACCCCAAAACCCCAAAACCCCAAAACCCCGTTATATTGATAAACTTGATATTGAGAGTAAACAAACATAAATTCAAATTTAAATATTAGTTTAAAAACATGGAATAGTATGAGAAAATCTGCGAGATAGGCAAAGGAAGCTTTGGCCAAGTAAGCAAGATAAAACGAAAATCAGATGGAAAAACTCTAGTCTGGAAAGAGATGAATTATGGTAGAATGTCTGATAAGGAAAAGTAGCTATTGGTGAGTGAGGTTAATATATTAAGGGAACTAGATCATCCAAACATAGTCAAATACTACGAGAGAATTTTAAATAAAGAAAAGCAGATTATCTTAATAGTTATGGAGTATTGTGATAAAGGTGATATGGCTTTAATGATTAGAAAACTTAAAAGAGATAGAGATTATTTGCCTGAATAGTAAATATGGAAAATCTTAGCCTAGATTATATATGGTCTGTTTGCTTGCCATAGACGGAAAGAGGGAAATAAAATCTTGCATCGAGATTTAAAACCAGGGAATATTCTATTTGATGCTCAAGGTAACGCTAAATTAGCTGATTTTGGACTTTCAAGAATGATGGGAGATCAATCCTAGTTTGCTTACACTCATGTGGGAACTCCTTACTATATGTCACCCGAGTAAATATCAGAACAAAAATACAATGAAAAGAGTGACATTTGGTCAGCTGCTTGTGTTATATATGAACTAGCAGCTCTCAAAACTCCTTTTGAAGCAACCAATTAGATTTAATTAGCAATGAAAATTAAAGAGGGAAAGATAAACAGAATACCTTAACAGTATTCAGATGAGTTATTTAGAGTCATATAGTAGATGATGACTTAGAATTTTGAAAAGAGACCTTCAGTAGATGACCTTATGATGCATCCTCAAATCAGCAAAAACATAAAGGAAAATTTTATAAAGGATAAGATTTCAAGTGTTAAGCGAGAGGAGGAAAAAATCATGAGTAATGAGAAATATGTGAAACAAAAGGAATAAGAAATTCTTGAAAAACTGAGGGAATTAGAAGAAGAGGAAAAAAGATTAGATAATTGGGAGAGGTAGCTTTAAGAACGTGCAGCAAAGTTAAACTCTCAAGTCATCATCGAGGCAAGTAATAAAATCTCGATCGATAAGCTATCGTTTCCTTTTAAACCTATTCAGACTCCTAAGAACATGAGCAACTAACTACTTAATTTTAATGAAAATCCCCCAGCTACAGGGTAAATAAGAAGATTCTAGAAATGTGTGAGTGCAGAGAGATAATAATAAAGTGAAGATGCATTTATGAATGAGAATAAATAGAAAATTGAACGTATATAAGCAGCCAAGCAATACATAAAGAAGAAGTAAATAGAGGAAAGTCGAAGTTCAAACAACCTTCTATTTATTCCAACAAATAATGATAATCAGATTATAAACAATGGCCCAAATACTCATCGAAGATTAGTGACTCAGAGAGACGACGTGACTATATTTAAAAAGCCACCAATGCTTGTTAGACCTGGTATTTAAAAAACTGAGAGAACAGTTCCAGATTTGAAATAAAGGCCATAACAAGAAAGAATTTAAGATAAACCAGAATAAATATCTGAAATTGAAATTCAAAGAAGAAAGTTAGCAGATCTTAGAGCAAATTACAAAGCAAATAGCGGAAACAACAGTAGATAAAATAGCTTTGATAAGAATATTGCACCTACTGGATTACCTTCACCATGTTAAAATATCTAAAAGTTGGCAAACTAAACTATGGGAACTTTCGATTTTAAGAGAGTAATGAATGTATAAACATAGAGGAACAGCTCTTAGGAGAAATAAAGTGCTATGCTTTAGTTCATGAATCGAAGACCTAGTACACATAGCGGAAATTCTAGTAATTAAGTTCCAAGATAAGCAATGGGAGATGTTACTTCTTAACTGAATAATTATTAGAATTGAAATTTGACATAGAAACAATAGCTACTTCGTTAAAGCATAAAAAAATTGGTAGTAAGTTAACTTTAATAATTTATTTGATTGATATTATTCCTAAGTTCTGCTAAGTGGGGTTTTGGGGTTTTGGGGAGATCGGAAGAGCGTCGTGT